ATTTCATGCTCGGACGTTACAGTTTGATTTCCATTACCACATTGATGGCTTATGGACATGAACCAGAATATTCGCAGACACATTGTTCTTGCAGGGGGCGTTAGTAGGCGTTTGGTGAGTGGCATCACCACGGACCCCGAGCCACATAAATTCACCTTCCCATGCCTGGCTGTTCATGGCATACCCATATCCTGGGAAAGGCATGCTGGTGGTTGAGCTGAGCCCGGGGTAGGTTTGGACCCTTTGGGGCTTCCGGGTGAGGCAATACACCACTTCGGCCCCTGCTTCCCATTGACGAGCGTCCCGGTAAAGCGCGGTCCAAACCAATCCGCAAAACCGGAGCATATGCAGTCTTGGGTAGTAACGCGTTACTGTAACTTCGTTACTTTTTGGTAACTTGTAACTGTAACGAGTTACTTTTCAAAAATGTACCTTGTAACTAGTTCTATTACTTTTTTCAAAGGTAACGATGAAAGTAACGACGTTACTTTTGTCGTTACTTTCCAGTGTTTTATGAATAATATATCACTGAACGGAGGTGCAATTTAGCCATTCCTTGCACTTTCCAAATCGTCTATTCCGACATTTCGAGTGTCAAGTTGGCCTTGCACAAAGTTGTGAATACGTTCTTTCTCGCGAGTTACGAGCCACGTGTAGATTTTATGAAAAAATATCTATAGTCCGTTGCAACTTAAAGGGACCATGAAATGACCTTTTTACTTTTTCCAGATAACTTTTACATTAAACCGTCAATGTTCACTGAATGCCGAACAGGCATCCGTTTTCGTCTCGGTTTATTAACTTCTACACAAAAAAATTATTGAAATATCGACTTTTTCATTCTCCCCAACTGACCGCAAAAGAAGCCGTGACGTAGGCCGTTTCCGGAACCGGAAGTTCTCTCGGCAGTAGGAGAATGGTAGCATCTTCGATCAACTCGCACCGGAATCGCCCTGAAACCAGCACAGTGCACAGCGCTCCTCGGTCGTGCAGCGCGATGTCGGTGCAACATCGAGGACAAACTGCGCCGCGCCGGTGCACCGCGGCGAGCTCCACCTTGCGTCACTTCGCGTTTTGTTCGTTTTTTCTTGCGTAGGTCAGCGCACGGTGCCCGTCTGCTGTCAATTTCTTCTATTTTTTTACTCGCGAATTTGACGGTCCCACAGAAATAAACATCGTGGACGTGATTGTCGATGGGGTCACGAAGCGGGTGACAATTCCACATGTGTATGTTGGCCAACATTATTAGTTCCAAGAAAACGAAACACCGGATAATAGCCGTACCTCGCTGTCATCGAAACGCCTCGCGCCGCTTTCCACGAAGTTCGTGCTTTTCGAGCGCTCCTTGCCACGGCAGCAATCGCCAGTAATCGCGGCGACGGTGAGAAGCTCGTCGTCTCGCCGTCAGAAGACCCGAGGAAATCATCTAGTGCAGCTGCGAGGCGTGTTCGTTTTTGCAAGATCGCCATCTCGATAGTCTGCGCGTCTGCTACTCCCGCCATCTTCTCGATTCCCGCTCCTGGCCGCAATGCCTGATGGGACTGCTGGGACTGCCCCCCGGCGCACCGCCGATTTTCTTGGTGCGCGTTGGGGCAACGAAAAGCCGCACCGGGAGGGTGCGCTTCGTTGATCGAGGACATACGGTGCGCACCGGTGCACTTGATCGAAGATGAAGGGGCGCACCTCAGTGCCCCGGTGCGCACCGGTGCGGATGATCGAGGATGCAATGGGAGTGTTAGCGGCAACGAGTTGGGGTGCGCCGGTAGGTATTACTGCGCTGATGTCACCGACGTATTTCCTGAATCGGCGCCTCTCATCGCCGCATCGCAGCTGAGCGAGATTCAATGAGATATGTTGCGCTACAGCGACAGCATGGGACTAGTCCCATACGCCGGTATGCCTGTTGGGAAGTGCAGCGAGTCTTCCGGTGAAGACTCCAGAAGTCAACCACCCCGTCATTGTTGGCAGAAGGGCCGGCCCGTGTCAGTCGTTTGCAAAGCGACGTAGATGGCGTTTTTCGCGGCCTCGGAGATGCAGGAGCGAGCCGACGTTAAAAAAGATACGTTTGAACATGAGTGTCAGCAAGAGCCACGTAACTACCTGTTTACACTCGGAGCGGACGCGCGCGCTTGATGGAAGTCTTGTATTCGCGCTGTTTGTAAGCGCTTCGGGACCGTTCTTTTACGATTGCAACTCGATACTGACGCGACACTCGGCAAAGAAAGGTTGGACCGGGGTTGTACGTATCAGTCTGTCAGAATAAAAATGGCATACCAATAACAAAGTGTACATACCGTGTTACGAAGGTAATCCATACGGCGTTTATTTCAGCTCTATATCACACAAAACAAGAAGATAGAATCGACGAGAGTCCCTTTTCGACGAGTGTTCGTCAACACTGCCTCGGAAAACAAGGGGAAGAGATTGACCTCACCTCTTAATCTAGAATTGAGGTCAGTGATCAAACTATAATACGGGAAGGGTCCACAAGGGTCGCGCGGGCATATTCCATTTAGCACGCCAGCCGATCGTAGGCAGACGGTCTTGCGACGAAGCAACGCAGCGCCGAGTCGGAATGCCTGCTAGGCCTACAGCGTTCTTGTTCGTCGTGGTCTGTTTTAAGTACTGTTTTCTTGCTGCTTGAAGTCGGCACGCGCGGGAAGAACACGTAGAAAAATAAACGTTCAGTCAGTCAGAGTTTTGAGGGGAAGGAAAACAAAGAAAATAAACGTTCGTCGCTGGTCGCCACCCAAGTAACTGTCGGCCCTGCCCTACTGCGCACGCGCAGTAGTTGCTTCGTTTACCACACGATAGATGGCGCCTGGCTCTCAGCATTATCAAATTTGGCAATTTTCGCCACACATCTCTAATTATGCTACAAAATGTGGATCTGAATATTATTTAACAAAACTTTTAGGAAAAATTCGCCGGATATTTATTGTTTACGATCGCGGTGCTGGTGAGGTAGGCTCTTACCCAATAGGCGACCTGGATTTGGCTGACGTGCTCCATTTCCGCGGATGCATCGTAGTGAACAGGCGAAGGAAGGAAGGCGCAAAAGAGTCCAGTTTTCTTTTAAAAGTTCTATAGCAAATAATTTTTTTTTGGCTCCCTATTTTTGTGTTTTTGTGTTTCTTTTCACACCTTTTACGACGTGCGGTGGATGAAACTCGATTTTAAAATCATTTCATGGTCCTTTTAAGAACGAAGGGCGAGGGTAAGACGGGCCGGAGGAAGCATACGGAACGCTAAAGAGAGAAGGAGGTTTCTCCCTCTCTTCTCCAGCGTTCCGTCTGCTTCCTCCTCCCCGGCCCGTCTTACCCTCGCCCTTCGTTCTTAGGTTGCAACGCTTGTACTTTGTGACTGAACACTTACATCTTATTGTCTTGAAGCACTATATATGTTGTGTTTTTTCTTTTTTCTGTGCAAACGCTTTTTAATCGGGTGAGTCAACCGTGAAACAACAATACACGTGGAGGGCACTGCGCATGTCTCGTATTTTGATTAGCGCCACTACTCCGCACTGAGCATGTTTCATATTTTGGTTTGCGCCGCTACTCTGGTGTGGAAACTTTCAAACACTAACTTCAAGAAGCAACTGCTGCTAAGCTACAATATTAAGTAAAAAGCATACTTTTTAGTTTTGTACAATAAAACGGTGTGAGGGGCGTTTTCTAGTTTTTGTTATTTTTTGTGTCATAGAAAAATAACTGAAAAGTAACGGTCGTTACTTTTTAAAAGTAACTGTAACGAGTACGTTACTCTTTTGTTGCGCCAACTGTAACGGTAACTTCGCTACTTTTTTTCTGAAAGTAACTTACTGTAACGAATTACTTTTTAAAAGTAACCTACCCAAGACTGAGCATATGGGTCCCGGAGAAATCCGGTCGGACAGGATTGGTGTCAACGGCCACGCGGGGGTCCCAAGTTGAAAATATTCATCCTCTTCCGGCCCCAGGCAGGGCCGCAAAGCGCGGAAGAGGCCCTCGGCCAAGGGTCCAACCTCCCCTCGCCCTCCTCGCAAACTCGATTGGGGCGGGGGGTTCAGGGAGGGGAGGGGGTTTGCTAATTGCTTGGGAACCCAACAATAGGACAAAGGGAGACTTAAGAAGCAATATCTTTTGTTTTATTCTCCCCTTCGAAGCCACTCAAAAGTGCCTTTTCTCCCTCTCCTGCCTGTCATGTGCATTTTTTTCTTTCTCAACCTTTGTGTCTCCTGCGTCCCTGTGCTGTCCCTTCAACTTGTGCCTAGGGAGCCTTCATGTGCACTTTGCTAGGGTGATGCCACCCTTTGTAATACCGCTCGCCGACAAACCAGCAGCCATTTTGGTTCTCGGCGATAATCCGTGGTGTTTATAACCCTCCCGGAAACAAGCACCTTATCTCACAAGTTCGGAGCAGCGTTGTGGAACCCACGAAGGGAGGAGGATTAGCGTTTTCCCCCTGGGATGGGAGGACCGATGGACGCAAAGGCCACTTTCCGGCGCACGGGGAAACAATGAGAGGGACAAAATGGCGGTGGAAGAGGGTGTGGGAAAGGGAAACAGGCAGTTGGCCTGTTTCTCTTTCCCACACCCTCTTCATGTGCGCTTCACTCTATGTGAAGCGCACATGAAGGCACCCTAGTCGTAATTTTGCAGGATTTGAACGGTACGCGGTCGCGCATGCGCAGTTAGGCCTACGGTAACGGTAGTACGGTAACGGTTTGCTAAACGTCCCCATTGACTGAAAAGATTTATTCTGTCCTATTCAGCAACTCCTGAGGAAGCACGACTACAGCGAGCCCTAACAAACGGCTTACCCGTTGCCAGTGGGAAATCCTGCTTTTATTGGTTTCAGAAATGACTCAATGGCACGTATTTATACTCTGGGCCTCCTGTTTGACTGCAAAAGTTAACGTATTAAGTTTATATTGGTACTCGGTGACTGCTATGTGAATGTAAATAATTTTTTTAGCATTAATTAAACAAAGTATGCAAAAAAAAATGTTATTTAAAAGCTTATTTTAAATATTTTTGGGCGTGAACCACAAATATGTCACTGAGATACTGCGGACCCCCGCTTGGTTTTTCAGTCCACATCTTGCGGATGATTTCCGCCACGTCCGACTTGAATACTGTCTTCGATCCTTCGGGCAGCAATGGCAGAATGGGATCTAGTGAGAGTTCCACCTCTAAAAGAAAGGGAAGAGGGCAAGGGAGAGTTCAACACCACCTACAGGGTGTCACAAAAGAAAATTTACACGGTCTTTTTTACCGCAAAAATAAACTAGGCGTCGCCGAACGCTCATTCTCCGCCCAAAGGTAGCGCAAGAGGTCACAACCAGATGCCAAAGTGTCAGTCCGATACAATAACTTAATCAAAAGTAATAAGTGATTTTCTGAAAATTTCAATGGGAAAATGGCGGCCGACGGAGTTTTCAATTAGATGGGGCTCTATGGCACCAGGAACCGAAAACGGGCCAAAATGGGCTCTCTCTTTCCATTGAAATTGCCCTAGGAGGCCGGAAATATCATGGAGAATAGAAGGGTAGGAAGGGCATGACGTCAACCGCGTAGCCTCCACAAGTCATGCTCCCTTGACGCCTCGCCTCTTTCTCATTTTCCTCCTTACTCTCCTCACTTACCAGCCCAACATGACCACATCACGTGACCGTCGCTAGCCTTCGTCTAGCCTTCGATCTGATAAAACCTACGGGACGGAGCGCGCGAAAGCCTGCAAGGAATCCTCCTACAATCAACCATCCATCTCGCACGTGACATGTCACGCGCACCAATCGCCAGAAAGATCTGCGGTCATGCTGGGCACAATACCGTTTAAAAAATTTTATGACTATAGGCTTCACCAATATTGCAACGTGCCCCCTCCTAGTACTTCTAACCTCCATGCGGAAATATAGTGGTCTGAGGGCCGCCATGTTTTGGGCTTCGATCACTTCTTGCGCGAAGCGTGCGATTGGATCTGAGTTCACGCCGAGAGTTGACGCAGCACTCGTGACCAATACAATGCGGAGCGCAGGTTCGTCTTCTTCTTGCGCAGGCGAAAGCCGTTTACAACTAACTCCCTGTAAAGCGCGAAACACATGTACGACGAAACCGTCCGATCCGACGTCCGACCGCGCAATACGACGGTCGGAGGCGAGGGTTTTCAACGCTCTCCGATGCTACGAAAACCCTCTCCCCCCAAAGTCATTCCGGCAGTCCGCACGTCGGATCGGACAGTTTCGTCGTGCATGTGTTTCGCGCTTAACGCCGAATCAGAGCCCAGCTCTTGAGGAGGAGGGAAGGGTACTGAGGAAAGGGTACACCCGTCCCCCCTCCTCCTCACCTCCTCATCCTGTCTGCTACTCCTCCCTCCGAGCGGCGTCGCCGTCGGCGTTACCGTGAGGTCACGTGACCCTCGTGATGTCACGGAGGTCAGGTGACGCCGCGAGGACGTTTCGACACGGTGCCGAAACGTCATCATGCCGAAACGTCGCCGCAGTTACGCCGATGACGACGGCGTAACCGTTTAATTCGTAAAAAAAAAAAAAAAAAAAAAAAAAAAATAGTGGGTAGACCTTAAGGCATTTAGCATTGAGATCTGCCCGAAATCCTTTCAATCAATGCCAATCAGAGCTCAGCTGGCCATGCGGGGAAAGGTTTTGCCGCTAAATTTAGTGGGAAAAATTGCCGTGCTAAATTTAGGAGGAAAATTGCTCTGCTAAGTTTAGCGGGAAAATTGCTCCGCTAAATTTGGCGCGAACATTTCTATGCGAAATGTCGCGAGACATCCTGACGGTCACGTAGCTGAAACGTCGCGTGATGTGGTCACGGGACAGCGTGACGTCATGTGACTGTGACGTCACGCGCCACAACTGCCCTACGCGAAACACCGCTGCGAAACCTGCTGCCAATAACGGCTGTCACCTTAAAAAATATATCTATGGTCCTATAGATGTTGCTGTCCGTTCACGTGTCGTCGAGACAAGAGAAACCAGGCTAGGATAGTGACGAAAACTTACGGACGTATTTGTCCACATGCATGTGACTCAAGTCTTCGGACAGCACCTGGCACGTGCGCGGATTCAGGTTGGAACCCTCGAGGACTCCCAGCATGTATGAGGTGAGGCCCGACCTGTCTTCGATGTCCTGGCTTGGCGGAATGAAGCGCTCAACGACCTACGAGAAAGTGAAGGATGGTTGGGCCATTCTCCCGATTAGTTTACCTTTTATGTCGAAGAAAAGATAATTATAGCGACATTGATTTTAAGTAATAATACGAGGCTTTTTTTGTTGTTGCTTTTTTGAATTTTTGTTTAACTGGGTGAAAACAACAAGGGTGATGAAAGACGTTTCAATATGCATGAAGCTGGAATGCATACCGTAAGCTACTTCCCGCAATCACTGCACAGGTCTAGGCATTTAGCACGACGTCGCACAAGCTTTTGAATATCCACTTCGAAACAGGTTGCCGCCTGTGTTCTCAGTTATTCAATCACGCGTTCAACCGGACCCTCAGTCGCCACAGACGCTCTTTCCCGATCCCCAACATGATAGACGTCTGTTCGTCCTCCCCTTTCCGAAACTAAATGCAGGTTCCTCCATTTACGTTGCACGTCTGTGGTACTGGCATTAGGTTTATTTGTACGTGAATAGTTTGTAACTTTCGTGGATATCTTATTGTTACTTACGACACTGTAGAAGTACTCCACTTAACATTTTCAAATTTTTGTACTTGTCAGGACACAATAAAAATAAACACTGTCCTGGCAGTTGAATTTTACATTTGCAAACTCGGCACTGTGGGCTCAATCTCTTTTTCTTTATATGTTTCTAACTTCAGCTGGTCCTGCCTGATCTACAATGTGTTTGACCCTGTGAATCAGTCCAAAAAAAAAACTCAAATCACAAGGTGCAAGTCCTCACAGTAATACTAAATAGATAAACTAACTCAAGTAGCTGGTCTGAAATATCCTCGATCCCAACTCATTTACGTTTCATACGTCCACTCTTTATCCGTCGACTGTTCTATAAGGTGCTCCGAGTTCAATTTCTTATATTCACAGACAAAATAAAGCACGCAGGGTGTGTTTAGTCCCGAGCACCTTATAGCTACGCAATCAATCAGATTGCGGCATTACCCGGTATAAGGACGCCGAAGAAACAGACGTGAACGTACAAAGTGATCCCCCAAAACGCTCATTCTCCGTTCAAATGTAGCGCTAAAGGTCCAAATCCAGGTGCCAATGTATCAAAACAAACCGTGATCCCATTCAAAAGTTGTAAGTGATTTTCTGAAAATTTAAACAAAAAATGGGGCCCGTTTTTTTTTCCAGTTACTGACAGTGTTCTCTAGTAACGGCCATTATTCCGTTCCATGTATTCGAAAGTTCCGTGTACGTAATAAGCCATGCCTTGAGTATCCTGAGCTGTCCGCGACTGTAGAAGGGACGGGTGGTCGTGACCAAACGCGGACTCATAAAAGAAGTTTTTCAGTTGCGCGTGCTGAGAAAGCTGTTGGCTGTCATCTGTTTGTATGTAGGCATCGCTCTAAGAATATGTAGCGACTCAAAATGACGAAACACGGAAGCAAAATGAACAGATGAACTCACCGCTTTGTACTGTTTCCACCGATCCATCGCCACAATTTTCCTCCACACCCTGTACAGGGTAATACGAGCCGGGAACACCAGCAGGCACTCGCCGTCGTCGGTCATCAAGTCTGCCACGTTGCGGAGGGCCGCAGTGAGGTCCTCCGTCCAGTGCAGGGCGAAGAACGAGTAGACGCGATCGAACTTGCCGTACTTCTGCACGAGTTCCGAGACGTCGCTTTCGATGTCCTGTACCTCGTACGCGATCTGCGGATGCCCGAAGTTCTCCCTGGCGTACTCCAGCATTTCTCGGGAGACGTCGGTGGCCACAATCCTGCGGCAGGGCTGACAGCGTGGCAGCAGTTCTTGCCGAGTGAAGTCGCCCGTCCCGCAGCCCACGTCAATGAACTGCTGGCTGGCATTCGGTTTGCTACCAAACGACATTTGCATCATGTCGAGAGTTTTGATGTTAGTTTGTCGGGGAAATTGGTTGCTTTTTGCGTAGAGCTCCGGGGCAATAAACGTCTTAAGCGCCCGTTCGTTGACAGTGTCAGCATCGGAACCGGAAGAAGCAAATTTGGCCATGTTACTGTTGAAGTGTCACCAACTGTTGAGATGAAAAGCATATTTTGGTCATTGCTCCGGTGGAAACCCATGAAATTTAGAGCCCTGATTCGGGTTTATCAGCATTACTTCGAAACAAAACTGTTTTGGTTATTTAATTACTTATTTCACAACACGTTCGATGTTTCAGACGGCATAGTCCAACAGTGGGTGGCGAGAAACCATAAAACATATTATACCTAAAACACCTGGGTTGGTTTGCTGATCAATGCGTGTATTTTACACGCAGTGGTGATTTTCATGTCACGTGACCGACTACGGGGTGACAATAAACTAAGCGCAGCGTTACAAGCACATTTAAGGTCCGATTCCGCGCGCGGAAAAAGGGGAAAGAGGCTTGAGATGTAAGTGAAATGACAGAGCTGATCTCTTTCCTTTGGTCGGAAAACGCAAGAAAACATATTTTAAACTGAATTCAACGATAACCAAAAACCACCTCGTGAATGTCTGTAGCTTCAGTGGCATGTCGGGACGACATCATGTCAGTAAGAGCAGCACCACAACGGAAAGTACGCTCACTCAGATGTTATTAGTACCGAGCCGCTTTGGTGAAAAAAACTAACAACAAAGTTGGCCACGGTGTCAGTTTCGCGTGGTCTTTCCGGCAACGCTTGTTTAGGAATTGTGTCCGTGTGATGTAAAGTCGACGCTACGAGATGTCGATTAATAAGGGCCCGCGAATGCCTACCTCTGCCGATGACGGGATAACCGCTTGGTGGACTGCTGCGAACTCGACCGCTACGAAGTCAACACAAATCGTTGCTAGAAGGAGACGGCCCGCACGGCTCTGCAAAGTGGCGCACATTTAAACAAATCGCCGCGGCGTGTTTCGTGGCTTCGGAACGCGGGAGGGAGCCGAGGTACAGGAAAATACGTTTAAACTATAACAGTGCCACCAAGAGCCACGTAAATACCTGTACAGTCTGGGAGCGGAACTTCACTGGCAGCCCGTTCGTGGTAACCGCTTTGGGAACGGTCTTTTACAACCGATATTATGAACAACTGCAAAAAGAACTGTTCGGGCTCGACATATGTTGGCGCACCGTCATGTTGGATAAAGGGACAATACTAGAAACAGTGCGTATACCTACGTTGCGGAGGCAATCCATATGGCGTTTATATAACACACAAAAAATAGATAGAAATAATTAGTTTCCCTTTTCGACGAGAGCGTTCGCTACCGCTGCACCTGACAGCAAGGGGACAACGAGGATAAAGACCTGCCTTCTTAGCCGAATATAGAAGCCAGAGTTCAAACTATTCATACAGGAAGGGTTCATGAAGGTCCCATGATCGCGTGGGCATATTCCATACAGCAAGCCAGCCGGTTGTGGCACCCTGACCAGGGTCGTCGGAACATCATGTCGGAGTACACTGCTAGAGCGTACTATAGCCAGTCTGGCAGTCGCTTTGTCGGTGGGATCGTTGTCGTTGTAGCTTTTTCGGGTACCCGTGGTTCCAGCGTTTGTCTCCGCGGCGTTCAGTTTCAAGTACTTTTCTCTTTCTTTTCTCTCGGTGTTTGCAGTCGCGACACGCGCGGAGAGCACGCAGGAATGCCCGTTGGTTGTCGCGGCGACGTAAGCGAGCTATGTTGCTGGCCATGTGGATTTGGACGTTAAAAGTGCGCCACCTTTGGAACTGTCGTAGGATTGCATTGTGTTGTCGTGCGCACGTTTTAGTTGTCGTAAGATCGTTTCGTGAATAAGTTCTGTTACCTGCGGACGATGAAGACAAGACAGACGGGTAATACCAGAGGCTCCGGAAGTCTTTCTTTAGAGGGGGGGCTCGACATCTCCGAAATCCTCAAGGTTAGGTTGGTTTCAGGTTGACATTAATTGCCACATTTGAATGAAAACATATTAATGCACCGCGTTCGCATATTCACGCACATATCCATGGAAAACAAATTAAAACAATGGTTCAGTAAAATAACAGTAAGAAGCTTGCACTGACAACTCATACAATGATTGGATAACCACTGAAATCAGCCGCACCATGTGTTCTTTATTTTTTCTTTCCTATACCAACTGTTACATGTCAACCGCAGCTGTGCCTATGCCAAATTGGCTATGTCTAAAAATGAAAACCTTCCTTCATTTAGGGATTCTCGGGGAAGCATGATGTATTAACGCAGACGTAGACAAACAAGTGTTAAAAGTTTTAGACAAAACCCCGAGACTCGGGGGAAAAAAGGACAACACAACACGGAGTCTCAAACACAGCAAGTTGGGCCATCGGATGTCTTAACTGGAAGCAGAGGTTGCATACATCGGTATGTACCTCAGGATCAAGTGCATCGACCGTGATCGCTTCGGACTCCTGGCGTCAATACAAGTTGGGGGGCATCACAAAAGGAGGGTACTGAAGGATAAGAGCTGTGTTTCAGACTTCGTGTTGTGTTGTCCTCAGTTTGTAAACATGTGTCGCCTCATGCCTCACCACCCTGCGGGCACGACGCCGCATGCGCGCAAAGCTTTCGCCATCAAAGGCGCCTTGTCAAATTTGGGAGCTCGTAGACTTTCGCCTTTTCTAAGCACTCCCGAATCCCCACTCAAGCTCACCAGCCCCCCCCCCCCCCCCTCCCCCTTTTCCTAATGATGGCCTTTAAGCGCCGCGGTAGTACCGCCTGCCTGTTTTGTCCGCGGGCCAGAAGCACCATGCATCTTCTGGGCTTCTTGCTTCCACACGGGGGAAGCAGACAAACGCTCGCCGACGTCGTCTTGTCGGAATCCATTCGTTTCGCTGTCTCCTCTTTGCTCGCTCTAAACTGGTTGTCAATCAGGCTCATGAGTCCTGCCTGTCATTTTCTTCTGGTTTTGACTTTTCAAGCAAGCCTCTCCGTCGCCCCGGTGCTTTTTGTGCTTGGCGGAGTTGAGGAGGGCGGTAGGTCAGCATGTATAAAGAGTCATTTCATTTATTTCGGCTCAGGAGAGACGGAGGTACAGCAAATAGGCCGAAGGCCCATACCAGATAACCTGCAAACACACAAACTAAAAAAAAAAAAAAAGAGGGAGGGGGAGGGGGGGCTCGGCAGCTCGGTCCTGAGGACAGGAGGGGCTCAAGCCCACCCTGCCCCCCCGCTTCCGGAGCCCCTGGGTAATACGGATTCGGCTCTAGGCCGAATCGTTTCTCGGCCATCATGGACACTGGTGGCCGAGAACCAGGAACTCTCTGCTCCGCCTTTTCCCATTCCCCTTGGCCGATAGCTTCCAGTTCACTAATTATACTGTCTTCCTCCTCTACTCCTATACCGCCTATAAGTCTGCTCGTTACAATTGTGCGACGGCCCCCTCTTGTGTCTGCGATAATTCCGAGGTAATCAATCGTTCATACCAATTTTAATAGACAAATGGGCCATGCACTAATGTAATATTTGTTTTCTGCGTGAAGTTATTTCTAGGGAAAGCCGTGTTTAGCGAGAATTAAAGAAAACGACAGGCAAGGGCTTCATCTTTAGGAGGAATCGGCTGGAACGCTAGTTACTTTGTTTCCCACGAAGCTGGTCTCGTGGCCTCAAAATCTCTGTTGCGTGTGAGGTGTATACCGGCGGAAGAAGAGACACCCGCATTGATCTGTAAACCGGCCCTGGAGCGTACGTGTTCCTTAAATATACCGGGTAAGCATTACAGAACGCTCTAAACACTCAAGTTAAATTAGAAAAGATCAAGTGGATTACAAATATTCTTTTAACTATACAATCACGTTTTCTTACAAAATACGCAAGTTTCGCGTTGAGGTGCGATACTTGTTTCTGAAAGGCAGCGAGAAACGCGAACATGCTGTAAATGCTATAGAAACGCTGGCTATATAACTTAGGCATAATACAAAACGTGGTTATGTTTTATGTCCTTAGTTGTCTATAAAAAGCCGCTTCCGTAATCGGCTTCACGTGGCTGTGAAGCTAAAGACGTCTTTGATTAACAATTTAAACGAAAAGACCCTCGCACAATGCCAGTCAAATGTGCGGAACTATAACCTCCGTTTCGGACGTTGCTGCAGTGTATACCCTTCTCAAAAGTGTGCCTTATCTAGTGGTTGGTGCGCCGATTTTCCGAGTCCGCCATTGCTTGGCCGCATGCGCTGAACAGTTATAGGACACGAGGGTTACGTCAGCGTTCGGCGAGGACTCTTATCCAATCATATGCGGCGAGCAAGTCGTCTGCTTCTTGCTCGGGAGTGGCAGTGATGTCAGAACGACGCCGAGTTCTTACCGGGTGATTGAATAAAATAGTGGGTAGACCTGAAGGCATCTAGCATTGAGGTATACCCACTATCCTTTCAATTACGGCCAATCAGATCTCGGCGTCGTTCTGACGTCACCACAACTCCTGAGCAAAAAGCAGACGACTTGCTCTCCTGATAACGCTTGGCGCCCAAGAAATGGCGACCGCCAATACTGCTTGATGGGGTTCTGGAATAGGGTCGATTATTTCCGCCGTCACGCAAAGCTCTCCGTAATCAGCTACGAGATCCGGAACACTACTGACAAGGCTGTAGCGGTGCGCATGCGCAGTCGGGCAGGCGTCTTCATTACGGAGTGCGTAGAGCGGAGGGCGTCTGCAGAGATTCGCGGGTGCAGAATCCATTTCGCGAATGCTTGCGGCTCGGTATTTACTAGGGATGTCGCGAACCACCCCAAGTTCGATTTCGAAAGGTTTCGATATTTGAGAAGCGAACTGAGGTTCGATTTCGAAAAAATTCGATATTTTCGTACCGACCGACCGAGGTTCGAATTCGAAATATTCGCAACTTTTGATCACAGTGAAGTTTCGAATTCAAAAAGGTCGAAGCTTTCACGGTTTCTAAAATTTCGGATTCGAATATTTCGAATATTTTTTTACTTCAGGTTCGATAAATTCGAAGATTTCGAAATTCTTTGGAAATAAAATTCGAAAACTTCAAACGCTTCGAATTTCTTTCTGCATAAAGTTCGAAAAGTACGAAGGTTTCGATTCTCCTTT